CATCGATGCTTTGAAGTATCTGTAAATCAGTTTCCATTGGGCCAAATATAAAAGTCCTCAGTCTGATTGCCGGTATTTTATGTTTCCGAAAAAATTCCGCATTTTTTTTAGATGCAGTTATTTGAAGCATCAAATCTGAAGTTGGTTATTTTAGTTGTTAAAGCTCTGTGTAAGAAAGAATTTAGATAGATATAAGTCGATTGATAACTGTTAAATAACGCTGCTGTTTGTAGAACCAATTTAAGTTCACTTATGTAATTTTGATTTTATGCATAATTTTTTTTTGTTTACCTTTTTTTATTTAACAATTTTGACATTAAAAAAATGGTTTATAGAAATTATAACTGTTTATTTTTTACAGCTATAAGTTTTTGTTACAGTTTTAAGTGAAGAATGGAAATTGGCAAAAAAAAAAAAAAAGAATTGAAGAATTGTTTTAACCGATAATTTTTTACAAGTATTTTTTGAATGATATCCACTAAAAAGTTTAACAAAATTGTATAATAATTGCTTCGGTTCTTTTTTTTGTTGGACTGAATACTAAAATTTTTTTCTATTCGCTCTCTGTCGTTTCAGTATTTAACCATTTCAGTTTTTGAGCTTTTTTTAAAATTATCTGCCTATTTTGTTTTTTGTTTTTTGTTTTGCCTACAGTTTGATATTGGAAAATTGAGGTTAGGAATTACAGGAATGGGTTAGTAAAATGCTTGTAGATTACCATCTAACGATATTACTTAGTGCTTATCATCTGACTTAGTTCAAATTTTCAATTATTAGATCCCACTTAATTTTTGCTTCCTTTTCCCCATCGATATTGCTGTATTTGGTTCCTTTTTTTTTTTTGTTTCCGTAAAAAGCAATCATTTTTTTGTTCAAAACTATGTTAGCAGTCAAATTGGTTACCCGGAAACTGAGCAGAGTTGTACAATTATGAAGCATTTTATATGAAGTATATAAAATTGTGGAAGAAACGATTACAGCTTTTTGTTTTCCTTTACCAAATTTTTCTACATTACTAACGACAGGAAAAAAAAAAAAAGAAGAAAAAACAAAGCAAATTTTTTTCTAATGGAACTCGAAACAAAAGAAATTGAAAAAAATAAGTATTATTTTATTTTTTTTATTTGTCATTCATATAAAATCATTTGTTTTTCCACTTATTATATAAGACCAGTTTTGAAGCTTATTTAGTTGGTCGTTTTTATAACAGCAAAAAAAAAATTTAGCAAGAAAGAATTTTTTTAGATATTTCTTCAAGAACAGATGTTGAAAACAGAACACTTTTTTTTTGGGGGGGGGGATTGACGATATAACCTTAAATTTAATAACAACTAGCACTTTTTTTTTTACTTGATATTTTTGTTCAATTTTCTTCAGCATTGATTGAATTAGCGTTGCTTTGATAATGTGTGTTCTCGTAGTTTTTTGCTTTTCCACTGCATTTGTAAATAGGGATCGTCGTGTTTTTCAAAAGAATTTTTCTTTTTGTTCCCATTTAGTATTCTCTGAACAATTAATTATTGGCTGTAGAAGTAAAAATATGGTTCTTTTTCCACTCCATTTTACTAAAATTCGAAAATCCGCCTGATTATTCATGTTCAAATGTACCACATTATCACCCGATAATGTCGGTTGTACATCTCGGTTGTAATGGAACACTGAAGAAGACGGGAATGAATTGAGGGAAATTGAGGATGGAGAAATTTTGCGATAAATGCCCGAGAACTGAAAGATTTACGGACCAACCTGAACTTAGGTGTTGAACGTACCATAATAATTTTGACGGTGTAATAGTTCTGACTACTTGATTTACCAACTGATTAGATATATCAACAGTTCTGCTAGTTTGCTGGCGCTGCCCATATGGTATTCTTTTGTCGGAAATAAGGGCCAAAATGTTTTAGACTCAACTTTTTGCGTGACCGCTTATGTTCGTTGTTTACTCCAACAAAGAACAGTGCTTTTTATGTGAAGCTTTTGTTGAAATTGAAAGTGGGAAGAAAAGTTTGAAGTTGTCTACTAAAATGTCCTTGGATTGATTTACTGTTGGCGGCTTTTTTTTTTTTTTGTCTGCTAAATGTTTTAGAATTAAGTTCAAAAAAATCGATCACTTTAAAATTCAATTTCAAAAGCAGTCAATGTCATCGACTTGTTTTTTTTTTTTTGGTTTTTGTGTTGCTCAATTCAACTGCGTTTGGTTGGATCTGTGGTATCAAAGTAAATGAAAATAAAAATCATCACCACTCCTCTTTTCTTCCTCTTCTTCTTTTTTTTTTTTTGATTACACCCTTAAACTAAGGAAGCGTCATGCAATAGGATGGAAGTACGATGATTATTGCATGCTCTGCCGAGCGTTGTTAATGGAATCGTTTGGAGGCTGGTTGGTGACCGCTATCAGAAGTTTAGAAGTCTGTTTCTATGCAAAACCACTGCACTACTTGGGTTTTGTTGTTGTTGTTGTTTGTTTGTTCTATTTGAATCGAATTATAATGTTGCTATAGTTGCATAGTGAAATTCTTTTGCCAACTTATAATTAAAGGTGAAAAATGCTTTTCTTTTTCAGTTATTATTATTATTTTTTTTTTTTTTTTTTTTTTTTTTTT